CGTCCGCCTCTATCAACTCGCCTGTAGCCGTCGACTGGCCTGCGAGCTGTCGACTCGCCATCAAGGGGTCGTGATCTCGCCTGTTGTGGCCTCGTTGATCTCGCCTGCAAGAGGTCGCCTGAACATCGACCTCGTCTGCACTTGGGGTTCGAGCTCGCCTGCATCAAAGCTCGAACTCGCCGACTGGACTTCGCCTGAAGCCCATCAACTTAGAGCTCGCCAACAGAGCATCGTCGGAGCTCGCCTTCAGCCTCGATTTCGCCTCTGACAGGTATGGATCTACACCCATATTTAACAGTAACAAGCTTATTCAACAGAATAATTATAGAAGGCATCGGATTTCGAAAGTCCAAACTTCATCTCTGGAGAAATTCTTGCCTACTCATGGAGTAGGCAAGATGCCTACACCCCTCCAATAGGAGAAGGGCATGTGGCATTAGAGGGGAAGAATGTGACATCACATTCTCTCGTCAAGTATCTCCATTTTTCAAGGAGTATTCTTGAGCTAGTAAGACTTCTCTATAATATCAAAATGAATGAGTCATTGTTGACATTGCTAGATTTGATCGGATCGTTACCAGGATTCGTGACTTAGCATTCTTCTCACTTTCTTAAAGGGTTAATCGAGGCTAGAAACTCTGTACTATAACCCAATTGCGGATAGATCCCCCGTAGTTTTATTCGAGCTAATAGACCCTCTTAAGTGAACTCGACTCTTTTCGGAGAAAAAGAAAAAAAAATCACACAGGTAGCCTATCCTCACCAATCGAGGGGGTTCGCTAGCAATTGGGATACGGGGACTATCTGCAATTAATTAATCCCATCCTAAAAATAAACGAGCTACAAAATTATATGATTTTATAGTCGTGAGTACATTTGCAGTGATGCTGAGAGGGCTTCGGTGCAATCGACGGTGATGTTCACGGGCTGTCTTCTTTAGCGTCCCACGCATTGATCAGCGTAGGAGGGATCTGGAGATAACGACTCCGGGGTCTAATTTCTAACTGTAACTTCCTTTTCTCACAAAGGTTAAGTCCCATCTAGGTGTTGATTCCATGCCTCAATATCATCGTGGTGTCATGTACTGTAATCTGTGAGTGCGTCTAAAAATCTACGTGTGTGCACGTACTTTTAAGTGAGTCCACAGAAAGTCATGGTCCTGGTAGTGTTTGTTTCAATTGTAAGTTTCTACGTAATTTTTTTTTTAAAATTAGTTCATAATACAGATTTAATATCTATAGATAATTGTTGGCTCAGGAAGGCCCACAGTGGAGATGGATCCAGCTAATTTACTCGGACTTAAATTGAATCTAGAACCTCAAGTCTTGTTTAATTTGGAGATTTTCGCGTTAATTTAGCACTTCACACAGAATACAGTCACAACAGAGAAAAGTATCAACATGCGTGCGTAAGAAAAACCCAACTCGTGTCAGATCAAGTTACCTTAGACCCATATGTGAACATCATGTGTGTCCCTTTTGAGCATTAATAACAGAATTTCAAAGCAAATAGAGTATCCGAACGAGCCATCACCGTGAGCCCTTAAAATACTGGAGATAGACAAAACTAATATATTTGAACCCAAATTGACCAAAAAGTACTAATCCTTAATTTATCATCAGTCCAAGTATATTTATTCATATATTCATTTTATTGTTCTTCCAAGAATGCAATTCTGAAAAGTTTATGTGCATAGATATTTGAATGAGGTGATGTTTTTGTCTTTAGGTTGGTGGAAGTTATGTATTTGTTTTTTGTTAATATTTTGTCTAATAAAATGTATGAGTACTGAAGACTCAATTATGACGGCCTCTCAATTTCAGTTGCTTTATATGTTAGATTTTTCTATAACTGTCTGTGATAATTTTTATGCTATGACAACCCTCTGTGTATTCACTAACAAATAAAACATTTTCGTTATCAGAAGCTGATGTATATGCGTGCTAACTAAAAAACAAAGTTTTGAGACAAGTATGTGTAGACCTAAATCAAAATTACAGTATAGCCATCCTCATGGATTCAAATTAATTTGTGCAATATAGTGCTGGACTGGAGTTAGTTTTTTTTTTTTTTGTGCCTATTTAATTTTGGAGTTGTGTGAAAGAAGAGCTCTGAGGGATATGTGGCCGGTTGGTTATGTATATAAGTTTCTACAAGACTTCGAGTTTGATATTATTAGCTCATAATTAGCATATCAATTTCTTTTACATATAATCTTGTGAGGATATGCACTTGTATGCTACATGTTCCTTTAGAGGCTGTTTGATTAGACAAAAATTGAGCTACGAAAGTAAATAGAACAATCAGATTTGTAATTACATAGTTTAGTTTGTCACTTTATAATTAAAAAAAAGAAAACAGATTTACAATTTGTAGAAAACCTGCAATAAATGCTACAGTCAATTGCTGGGAAGAAAAGCTGCATACTTTAAAAAACAAAATAAAAAAATAAAAAAACTTCACCTCATCAAAATAATATTTTTAAATTCAAATAATAAAACCATCTACACCCAAGTTTGCTTGTATGACAAAATTATGTAGCTTTTGTGCTAATTATTTTTCAACCAAACACTGAATTTACACTTGAAATAGATTTTCTAAGAACAAATTGGAGATGTACAAACAACAAGTTTGAAGTTTATTTCCTACAAAAAATTTTGCATGCAACATTTACTGCTACAACACTTCCTGCAATTTATTTTTGTAGCGAACCAAACAACCACTTAATTTGGTCTAGTTCTCATGTTAGTCTCTAACAAAATTTAAGATATGTTTACGACTTCCAACTAGGAGATGCTCAATTTGGGTCCCTCAAAAGTTACTTTAGTTTATAGCTGGTGGGCTTAT